GTGGAGGAGCCCTTTGAGAGTGACCGACATCACGTCAGTGCCTCCAACTGGTACGATCTGCAGGTGAGTAGCTTCAAGTACAATGTACTGTGGTGGTGGTGGTAGAAGTGGTGGTGGTGGTGGTGGTGGTAGAAGTGGTGGTGGTGGTGGTGGTAGTAGTGGTGGTGGTGGTAGAAGTGGTGGTGGTGGTGGTGGTAGAAGTGGGGGTATTGTTCTTGTTGCTGATGTCGTCGTCATCGTTGTTGTTGTGTTTGTGTCGGACGACAACAAGACTGTGGGCATTGGCGAGTTCATTGGTGAGATGTTGTTGTTTTTGTTGTTGTCGTTGTTGTTGCTGTTGTTGTTGTTTTTGTTGACGATGCTGTTGTCGTTGTGTTAGTGTGTTTATGAGTGTGTATGTGTGCGCGCGCATGTGTGTGTGTATGTGTGTGTGCGTGTGTGTGTGTCTGTGTGTGTATGTTTGTGTGTCTGTGTGTGGGTGTCTGTGTGTGCGTGTGTGTGTTTGCTCTTGAAAACAACAACAATAACTGCAACAACCAACAACAACCATCACCACCGGCGAGCATCCAGGAACTATTCGGAGACGTACTCTCGCACACAGATGCTCTGCTTTGAGGGCCAAGCTGTGTATAATAAATTGTTTGTTGCAGATCACACAGATGTCCAATAAAACTGTCGAAAATCAATTATCTTCAAGAAAATTTCAAATCTAAATGCAAAATATTGACTTATTGGTTAAAACAGGGGGGGGGGGCATGCCCCACCCCCACATTTGTTTTATTTGGTCCAGAAGCAGAAAGCATTTTGATTGGTCTATCTCCTTTGGAGACGTCTCCAGGTTGGTCTATCTCCGTCGGAGACAACGTCTCCGGATAGATACTGTGCACTTCCCCCCTCTTTTCCCCAGCTGTGATGAACGGTGTGGACTTCCGGTCCCGTCACAACGACTACATGCTGCGTTCCCCGAGCAGAACCTCCACGGACTACAAGGCCATGGATGACATAGAGTACCCGGCCGTGCCGCCAGAGGTGTTGGAGAAGGATGGGCTGGACGACCAGGTGCTGGAGATGAGGAAGTGGTTCAAGGCCTGGGCAGACCAGGACGATAGCGAGAGGGACTACAAGTGAGTGGGGGACTGGTGTTTTGTTTTTGGTTTGTTGGGTTGTCTGTGCATTTGTAAGTTTTTTGTTGTTGTTTATTTGTATGTTTGCTTGGTAGGTTGCTTAGTTGCTTGTTTGTTTGTTTAGTTGGTTGGTTGGTCGGTTGGTTGTTTGTTTATTTGTTTGTTTGGTAGATTGGTTGATTAGTTGGTTGGTTATGCATTTGTGTGGGTCGTTAGCTTTTGCTCTGGTGTGGTTTGCGCCTTTTATTTCTCTGATCAAAGATTTATCGTTCAGCTTTATATCGCTCCTCCCTTTTTTACATCTTATTCTCTAATAGTAACAAGAAATATGGTCGCTTTTAAGGACAAGCAGGCTAACCCAGATTGCGGGGGTTTCCAGAAATCTTGACCAACACCAAAAGTGGGCATTGCTCTACCTATAGGAGAAGTTTGATTTCATTGGTGTGTATATTTGTTCTGTTATAGAGAAAACTCTCCTTGTCTTTTAAAGAAACTGAACAAGGGCAAAAACTTTACCTTCGGTTTTCTCAAAACATCATTTTTCGGGATAGCCCCCATTGCGCTTAAAAGCGACCATATGTGAGGCAGCGGGGTGGAATCAGGCTCTCGTCAAAATAATCAAAGTGAAAAAACTTGCATTTTCCACAGGTTTGTGGATGTTAATCTAATTGTTGTTTTTTGGCTCACACCTTTTATGCCCATTTAAAAACACATTTGTGAGGCATCGTGGTGAAATCAGGCTCTCGTCAAAATAATCAAAGTGAAAAAACTTGCATTTTCCACAGGTTTGTGGATGTTAATCTAATTGTTGTTTTTTGGCTCAAAACCTTTCATGCCCATTAAAGAACTCATTTCTGTGTGGGTTTTTCTTAAAAACGTTGATTAAAGGCACAAAAATGTAAATTTTCAGTTACCACGAACTAATAAGCTATGGAAATAACTTTTTTGCTGTGAATTTCTCACTAATTTTACCTCTGAAAACAGGTGACCCCCACCTCCTTCTTTCGCAAATATCTCAACTTGTATTGTAGAAAAATGGATATATTTTTCATCCAAATGAAGACAAGTGAACAAGCTTTAAGAGGACACCAATAACTCTACATGCCCCAAAATTGACGAGAGCCTGATTCCACCACGCTACCTCACATATATAGTTTTGGTCTATCCACAACACTGCCACTGACAGGAAATACTTCAAGCCCCTGCTGTGCTACCTGGAGGGCGCGTGGACAGAGACAGACTTCGGCGTGGTGGAGGAGCCCTTTGAGAGTGACCGACATCACGTCAGTGCCTCCAACTGGTACGATCTGCAGGTGAGTAGCTTCAAGTACAATGTACTGTGTT